TCACCAGTACGTACATACCTACCCTCCAATGTCTTCCCAGCCCTTTGTTCAGAACTTGTCTCTAGCCCAGCTTTCTTCCCACCCAGTCATCCACACGTCAGTCTTGCTCAAATCTGTTTCTTTCTGATTCTCCCATTCAGGCAAGAGTACCCAGGGATTCCTCCTATAACTCAGCTGCCTGCAGGACCCAAACCTGCCTCCAGGTCTCTGCTGTGGCTGGAAATCTTTGTAGAAGTACCTTGTCTTATGCTTCTCCCTAGGAGCAGTTGGTGGGTTTGAACCACCAACTTTTGGATCAGCAGCCCCACGCTTATCCCACTGTGCCACCTGGCCCCCTTCCTTCTCATCTATGCCCACCCAGTGCCATGGCATTAACTGTGACTTGTGTCGATCCTCCATTGGGTTTCTAAGGCTGTAAATCTTAATGGGAGGAAACAGTCTCATCTTTTGTCAACAAGTTGCTGGGTAGGGGGTCTGAGTCGCTCACTGACTTCTGTTAACAGCTGATGGCTTTACCTGCTATGCAACCAGGTACCTTCCCCTCCTTCCACATCTTTTGTCTCGCTGGTGCACAGTGGGGATCCCTTCCCACAGTCCCATAGGCCCAGCCACAGCTATCCTTGGGAGATAAAGTCCAGCCAGGTCACCCACAAACCTAAGTTCCCTTAGTGGTTCTCCACACCACTGTGGTCCTCTACGCCCTTCCCCAGCCCTGCAGCGCTCCCTCTTGGCTGCCCTCTCCCCGAAACGGTACGTCCTAACTGGGCCTCTGCTGCAGACTTTCCCTCGGCTGGGAAGCTCACTCTCACTCAACCACATTTCAAACCCAGTCCAAATGCTTCGCGGATGCTCTGCACCAAAGCCCAGTCCTCCACATGGCCAGAGCCACCTCTATCACACAGCCTGTCTACAGCAGCACTGCCTGGGGGGAGGGGGAGCTGTGCTGGTCGCCATATGAATCCACCAACCACCCTGCAGGAGAAAGCTGAAATCTCCCAGGTCAGAGCTCAGATGCCTGACTGGAGGGTCACTAGAGTCAGAACAAACCCAACAGGAGTAGAACTTCCCACACTTCAGCTCCAGTGTACACTGTGTCTTCCACCAACACTGTAAGCCCCCAAGGGCTGAAGGTTCCACTCTCAAAGCCTCCTTGGATGAAAGGGGAGCCAAAGAGATGCATTCTACAGGTATATAGCAAACTACTGACCTGTGAGGTGAAGCGGCTTCTTGGTTAAAGGCTGAGGTTCTGTTTCTCTGATACTATCTCGTTTGCAAGAATAAACTGTGGTGCTGAACTGACTGCTGTGATTTGAAAAGGACTGGCTCCCTTTCCCATTTACACAGTTGTCTTAACAGATCAGGTATGCTCACAGGTCAAAAGCTGGAAAAGGCAAGTGGTGTATAAGTGCTTTAAACAAGGAGTTTTGCAGTCCTGAAAGACTTGAAACCAGACTCCACTGAAGGGCAAACTGGGAAATGTGTCTTCTGCAGCTATGTTGGGAGGGAGGCTCCCTGCATGCCTCCTGCATGCCAAGGTCACCGGGGCCTGCTGGAGAGTCCCAGCAGGTGTGGTCAGTGAGAGCTGGCAGGGCCCACCTGAAGGTGGCCTTCTGGATGCAGGGGGTGAGTTTTATGGCTGTTATGAACACCCTGCCGAGATGGCGAGATTGCCTGTGCATTGTGGGAAGTCACCCTTTACCTGCCGGGTTGGTATGTGCCTACCACTGACCACAGAGCCCTCTGTGGCTTTCACAGACACTTCTGGGGGACACAGTCTGTGTTCTGGGGGATGGGGTGCAGGAGAGGGTGGAGGCTATGTACCAACCCTGTTGGCAGGGATAGACCGCTTGCCAACTGCTCACAACCAGATAAGCATGTCGCTCCTTCATGTGGAGGCTTTATCAGCACTGAGAAGATTAGATGAGGATCAAGCCTCAGGGGAAAGGGGACCTCACACAGGGTCATCCACAGGCCAAGAACAAAAACTAGACGAAACCCACAGCCATCAGGTCATCTCTCGGGGGTCGTCCAGGACAGAACAGAACTGCCCCCAGGGTTCTGAGGCTGTAGATCTTACTGAGAGCAGAATACCCCATCTTTCATCCATGAAGCTGCTGGTGGATTCCAATTACCAACCTTTTTGTTAGCAGCTGGATGTATAACCACTGCACTCCCAGGACATGGCAGAATCACAAAACCAACCCTCACCAAGACTACTCCAATGCATAGTTACCCTGCAGGACAGAGAGAAGCTGCCTCACTGGCTTCCAAAGTTATAAATCCTTATGAAAGCAAACTGGTGGATTCAAATCACCAGCCTTTCTGGTTAGCAGCTCAATGCTTACCAGCAGGCCTTGACCATCAAGACGACTGTCTTGTAGGACAGAGTAAAACTGTCCCATACGATCCCAGACTGCCTCAGCTTTCACAGATTGGCTGGTGGGTTCAAACCTCCAACCTTTTGGCTAGCTGCGCAATGCTTTAACCACTGCCCTGCCAGGGCACTCGAGAAATGCAAATACAGTGTCCTGATCTTGTCTCAGAAGTGTTCTGCTTTTCTCTGGCTTTGACTCTTTACAGGGAAAGAAATGACAACACCCCTCAAAGGGTTTCCAGCAGCACAAAGCACAGAGGACAATGAAACCAAGGACCATGCCCTCAGCATTTGCCCACCAGCTCCTGCTGCTCAGCACCCTGCTTCAGGGCAGTCTGGAACAAAATCAGGGTGACAAAGGCCAATCACTCTTCTGCTCAAGTGTCTATGGGCCCCAGAGGGATGGTAATGAAACCAAGGAGGATGCCCTCAGCACACGCCCACCAGCTCAGGAGGCCACCGCTGCTTATCACCTGGCTTTCAATGGCAAGTATGGAACAAACAATCAAGTGATAAGGCCAATCACCCCCCTGCTCAGGCATCTATGGGCCCCTGAGAAGCAGTCTTCAGCTAGGAATGCATGTCTACCACCAGTCCATTTGACTCACAGTACCCTTTACGGGGGCGTGGGGGGGGGGGTGGTCCAAGGCTTAACAGATGCTGACTGCATCACCTATCTCCCTTGGAGCCGCTGGTGGTCCTTAACTACTGTGTCACCAAGGCTGGGAAGTGACGACCAGGTTATGCTGCAGGCTGCCTTTGCACCTTGGCCCCATCGGTCAGACTCAAAGCTGCCGCTACCCTGACAATGCACTGACCAGTCACTGAGCATCACCAGGCGGCTCTGAGACGACCTTTGACCTGGACTTCTGCCCTGAGGGCCTCAGCATAATCGGTGGCCAGCGCCCCTAGCCTCAACGGACAACTATGGGTCAGCCTCACCAAGGAGATGCCAGTGGTCACCGTCTTCAGCTGTCTCATAATAGGGACCAGAGCCCTTAGCACCTGTGGGCAGGGGTCAGGGAACATCTAAGGGTCAGGTTTGTTATCTCTTGGAGTGAGTCTCGGGGAGAACCTGGCGGGGCGGGTCTTCGCAGGAGGGAGAGGATCAGAGATGGTGACAGAGCTCAGAGAAGGGAAACATCGCGCCCCGAGGACAATGCCCGCGGGCAGAGCTGACACAGGGCAGCCCCAGACCTGAGCAGAGTCGCGCGCATGACCCTGCCTGGACCGGCGCAGCGGCTGGGGTCCTCGCGCGCCTGGCCTCGGGTGAGGCCCGCAGCCCGATCCCACGCGCCCTCCCTCCATCCGCCCGGCCAGGCCCCGCGATGACAGGCAGGTGACCCTGGCCCGCTCGGCGACCCGTACCCACAGCGCGCGCAGCCACGAACCCACCTCGCCCGCCGAGCCGCTTTTCCTCAGCTCTCTGAGCGACCGCGCCACGCGCTCTGTGCGCACGCGCGCCCAGGCCCCGCCCCCTGAGCACGCGCGCCGCCGGCCCCGCCCCCTGAGCACGCGCGCCGCCGGCCGCCCACCCGGTGCACCCATGAGTCCGCGCCAAGCTGGCTGTAGGCATGCGCACCGGCGCTTGCCAGCGACCCGTGAGGAGCATGCGCTAGTAGAAGACACAGCCTCAGCCGAATGGCTGGGGTTCGTATGCTGGCCCCTCAGGGTAGCGGGGGAAGGGAAAGAGGGAGTCAATGATTGCGGCGCCCAGTTATGGGCAGTGGTGGAGACGTCTGGAGCCAGGATGCAGGGACGGCTGCCCACTGGAGTCAACATCCGATTGGGCACGCGTGTACCTGTGAACGCGCGTCCGTGTGGGCTCGACGTCCAGCCCCGAGTGGGCGGAAACAAGGCCCAAGGAGTCCTGGGGGACATGACCTAAGCAGTGTGGCGGGAGGGAGAGCCAGAGCTTAAGGACGTGCTCGGAGGCGTGCAGAGGCAGGGAAGGAGACAGGGTCCCATTATGCAGATACCCAGCTGGAGGAAGAGGGTCAGACAACCCCTGGCATGGACAGTGACAGGCAGATAGTTGATAGACTGACCCGGCCAGGTCACGAGGACATAAACAGAAAATAGAGGCAGAGGTTCCCTCTAGGGAGGTGGCCCAGCGCCCTCTGCGGGTCCTGACAGGGAGTGACGGGGAGTCACCGAGCCTCCCAGGGGTCCACAGACGTCTTTGGTGGCCAGAGGCCTTGGGGAGGTCAGGGGACGTCATGGAGAATCACAGTGTCTGGGGAGGGCACAGTGACCTTTGGGGTATTTGCAGGGTCTGGTTCCACAAAAAAGGTTCGCTTTCTGGGGAGGCGCCCTCTCCAAAGGGGTGGTGGTGCCAGCTGGCTCAGAGTCTTCTGGGGATGGCAACTACCCCAAGGCGGTGTCTCAGAGTAGCTCTTGGGGGTGTTCACACCCCTGCGTCGGGAGTGGGGTGTCGCTGTGTCTGTTCTCACCCCCCTCCTGGTACTGGCGTCGGGCACTCAGGGAAGCGCCCGGCAGAGATGGCGCAAAGGCGGTAGGGAATTGGGGGAACCCCAGGTGGGAGATGCGCGCGGCGCCAGCCAAGATTCCTGGGCAGGCGATGCTGAGTCGTGATGGGCAGCTTTGCCCCGCCTGGTTGTCGGGCTCAGGCAGCCCCACAGCGCCCCCGCCGCTCACGCCGCTGCAGCCTCCGCAGGCGCCGCGTCCACGCGTCCCTCCAGGGTAGCACAAGGCTCCCGCTGGTGGCGCTGAGCCCTGGTCCCCGGCCCCCTGCGACCCCCGCTGCGGCTCCGGACCCGCCCCCCAGCAGCAGGTAGCGGCGCCCGGGGAGGAGGCGTGGGCAGCCGCAAGCCACGTCCCGCGCGGGCACCCAGAGCGCGCTGCTCCCACGCCGCGCGCGCTCTTCGCCGCTCCGGAACACGGCCAGCACAGCCACCGGGAAGCGTGTCCAAGCACCGCGCGCCTCGCCGCGCGCACCCACGGCCACTTGCACCGCTGTGAGGAGGGCGACAAGGGCGGGGTCAGGCGGGGCGGGGCCAGTCGCGCATTGGCTCCCTGGGCGCCCACCAGATGGGGCACCAAGGATTCCCACCAGAGGGCGCTTCCAAAGGAGGTGGTCTGGGCAATGGGAGCCCCTGGGGTTGAGGGCGGCGCTCACAAAGGTCAGGGTGTGTAAAAGGCAGCAAGAGGTGAGGTGGCTAGAGGTGGGAGATGGGTGGTCTACCTACCATAGTCCTTGCGGCAGAACTTCTTGAGGCTGATGCGGTAGCTGCCCCTGGCAGGTTTGCAATGGGCATCACAGTCTGGGGGAGGGGGACAGGGCTAGCTCCTCACGTTCACACTTTCCTCTTTCCTTGAACCCATGCACTCCCTTCCCCACTCCAATCCGAGCGTCTTGTCTGTGTCCACTCACCCTGCGGCTCCACCGGGCTGCTCTCTTCAGTCGGCCCAGGGGCGGGGGTCTCTGCGGAGAGGGTGGGAGTTCTTTGATGGAGGGTTGTTGGAGGGAAACAGAGGAAGTAACAGCAGAGGGAACCGTGGTTGGCCTCATCTGGGGTGTCGACCGGGTGGGGTCACTTACTGACACAGGGGGCCACGGGTGAGCGGCTCTGCTGGAAGCCAGGGGCACAGCGGTTGCAGGTGAGGCCGGTGACACCGTCTTTGCAGGGACACTGGCCTGTGGTCTGGTTGCAGGTTTTGCCAGCAGCCCCAACCGGGTGACAGTCACAGGCTTAGGGCAGAGGTGGGCAGAAGGGCCTGGTCAGACCAGGGCTGGGCAGAAAGGCAACTGAGGACATAGTAATTGGGAGGGCCACAGGACTCACCCCTGCAAGCTCGGCGGTCACTCAGGGCGCGGCCGGGGTCTCGATAGAAGCCCTCTCTGCAGTAGTGGCAGTGACGGCCAGCTGTGTCGTGACGGCAGTTGAGGCAAACGCCCCCACTGCGCCGGCCAGACAGGCGGTACAGCTCCATGTTGAAGCGACAGCGGCGGGCATGGCCATTGCAGGAGCAGGCTGTACAGAGGGATGGTGTCAGGGCAAGCCAGCCAGATCCTGGGTCCCCAGCCACCCTCCAGGGCCTCACCAATGCAAGCGTGGGCATCCCTGGTGGTGGCCCGCTGCCATGGCCTGTCGCAGTAGAAGGGTTTGCAGCGGCCACAGTCGGGGCCCTCGGTGCCATGCTGGCAATCACAGACTAGGCGGCCCTGGGCTTCCAGCAGGCATTGTGAGGCGTGCCCATTACACTTGCAGCGGCCGCCCACCTGCAGCTCCGTGGCTGAGTAGACATAGGGGACCACAGCCTCTGAGTCCCTGGGGTCCCCCAGCAGGGCAGGTCTGGTGAGCACCACTCTGATGTCTGTGGCAGTCACCCAGTCCTGCAGCACCGGGCTGCTGTCCAGATCCAGACCAGGGGGGCTGCCATCCTGCACACTGAAGGCCAGGAGGCCGCCGCCGTCGGGCTCGGCCTGGGGCGCTGGGAAGCACAAGGCCTCGGGCCCAGGGCCAGCCGGGCCAGTGGCAGGCAAAGGCGGGCGACCATAGTCCATGCCACAGCGCGAAGAGAAGAATCCAAGTGGGGCCCAGCTGCGGCCATGGTCCTGTGACTTGAGCAAGGCCACTGAAGCGGGTGGCGGAGAGCAGAAACGCAGGCTGATGAAGACCAACTCGAAAGCCTTCCCCAAGGGCACAGTCAAGGTCACGTTGAGGGGTGCGCGCACCAGTGCCTCGGAGCGCCAGCACACGGGGCCAGCCGTGCCCCCCGCTGCGGCCGTCAAGAGAGCGGCCGGGTGCGCCCGCCGTGGGTCCGAAGCGTCGCAGGCCCGCGTGGCCGGTCGCCCACACGTGCTGGACGCCAGCACCTCGCGGCCCAGGGCAGCGTTCACCAGGCCGGGCACGCAGCCGCGGGGTGCGCCGCCCTCGTCATGGCAGGGGTCGGCGGGCGCCAGCAGTCCGGCGCTCATGGCCAGGAGCGTGTGTGCAGTGAGCAGCAGCCCCCACGGCCAGCTATGCATGGCCGGAGCCGGTGGGTCAGCCTGCGGCCAGCGCGGGCGCGCCTTCGAGGAGGTCTGCTGTCAGTCTGCAGCCGCTGCCTGGCCCTGGGTGGACACAGTCGTGGGCGCGCCCCGGGCCGCGCAGGGCTGCAGAGAGCGAGTCTTCCCGCTGGGCCCACCGCGATGACAGGCGTCGCTCGCTCCCGGCGCCCCCGCCTGCGGAGGCCCGCTGCCCGCCGCCCACCGCGCACTCACCGCCGAGGGTCGGGCGGAGCAGGTCTGCGGCCTCCCGGGAAGGGCCAAGCGGGCGGGGCCTAGGCGGCTGGCCGCAGCCTCCTCCTGCTGCAGCGAGGGCGGTGCACGGTGCCAGCAGGGTGGGGGGCGCAGCAGGCGCGAGCCGGGGCCCAGCCGGGGGCGTGGCCGAGCTGGAGGAGAGGAGGGGGCCTCAGCAGAATCAGAAGCAGATTCAGACACTGGCTGGGCGGGCGGGGAGGGGGCTGGGAGGCCCGGGAGCCCGGGGGCGGGGCGGGGGAGCCTGGAATGCAAGGGCGGGAGGGGGCGGGGGGCGGCTGGTGGGGGACCACCCAGCAGGGTCCTGGGCCTTGAGCCAGACTTTGACTGCTCCTGGGGCTGTGCCACGTGCTGGCCAGGGGTCTGGGCCGCCTCCTTTCTCAGACCCGAGGGACAGCCACTGTTAGGAGACCAGTGGAGCCCCCCCCTTTCCCCAGAGGCCAAACTGAGGGAAGGGGGAGCCAAAATGGGTTGGCAGCTGCTGGCATAACCCAGCCAGGGCCCTCTATAGCAGAAAGACAACAGGGCTGGGGTCCGAACTGATTTTGGATCCGGTTCCGCCGACCTAGACTCACTGTCCTTGACTGGATTCTGACTCCTAGCAACCCCGTAGGCCAGAGAACTGGGTTTTCAGGCAATCTTTAAAGAAGCCGACTGCCACATCTGTCTATTGCTCAGACTAGTGGGTTAGGCTGGCAGCCAAGTGCTTTAACCACAGTGGCACCAAAGCCGCTACAATCCCCTCAATTCCAACTCATAGTGGTGCCATACCGAACTTTCTCCGCTGTAAAAATCTTTACCAGAGGAGAGAGTCTGGTGCACTTTTTCAGTTGACAACTACCACTCAGCAACCCAGTGAACAGTGTATCTGAATCTTGCCCTACCCTAACCAGTCACTGGAACCCATTGTTAGTCACTGTGTCCGTGCATCTCCTCTCTGGAGGATTTCCTCACTTTTGCTGTCCCTCCACCTTTCTAAGTATGAAGTCCTCTGAAGACCAGCCCCTCCTCTCCTAACAACATACTCAAGTTATATGAGATGAAGCTTCACCATCCTTGCCTCCAAAGAATACCCTAGTTGCACTTTCTCCCAAAAATATAATGTGCTGGCCACCAGGAATCTTTGATTTTTGGGTCCTCTGGATAGCCCATGTCCCTCAACCAATTCAACATCTTTGTGGAGCTGGTAAATTCAGACCTAGCCATATACCCACATGACCATGAGCTCAGGAAAGACTTTACTTGGGCTAAAATCATCTGAGGGGATGAGGTCATATCTCCCATCAGGGGGCAGGCCTGACTATTGGTCTCTCAGAATATAATGGCACAGTGAAAAGGTCCAATTCCAACTCCTATAAACGAATTCATAGTTCATCCTGCATCCAAGGCTTGTAAAATTCTTTACAGGAGAAGGTTGTCACCTCTTTCTCCCTCAGGTTGATGGGCTCAAACCACTGACCCTTTGCTTATTAGCATCCAAACATGATACCACCAGACTTTCACAAAGGTAGACTGTTCTTCATTACTGCTAAGTCAAAACTGACTCATAGCTGACCCTCCAGCAGGTTTCCAGAGGCTGGAAATGGCATGAGGTGAGATTGCCCATCTTCCTCCCAAGGAACAGCTGGGTAATTCAAACTGCTTGTCCTTGGGTTGGCAGCAGAACTCCCTACCCAGTAGGCCAGCAGAGCTCCACAATGAAGGTAAAGAAAATGGAAAACCTACATTCATCCCCACGAATCAAGCCTGACTCATAGTGACCTTTCATTGACTTTCTGAGGCTGTGAGCCTTTGCAGAAGCAGGCAGTTTTGTCTTCCTCCCTCTGAGCTCACAGCACCTTTCCGCAAGCAACCCAACAGTTAAGCTGCTGCACCACCAGGGGAGCTCAAGGGTTTGACCTATAGGGAAGGTCTTACCACAAATGGCTCAGTGTCAGAGCTCTGAGCTGGGTCCACATCCCAGCAGCTTTTTTAGCAAAACTGCAGCAGAAGTCCAGCTGGCCAGCCTGGCTGCGAGCTGGTGATGGAACTGAGGCTGAGAGCAGTTGTTAAGGTGCCCCTAGGTTGGAGCAGGGTTCAGATTTGTTGATCATATGGCACTTAATAACACACATAGCCCCAGTCAAGAGGGGACCAGGGTGCTCTGAGCAGAGGAATCCCTTCGGTACTAGATGGATGGAGCCCAGCAGCCCAAGGGAAGGACCCCATCCAGAGGGGAGTGGGTCCTGGAGGCAATCATGAGGCCCAGGCCACGAGCCCAGTCTAAGATGGAAGGATGAACCCAAGCCAGCCCTGCAAGAGGTGGACACCAGAGCCTCAGTCCAACAGGAACTAGGGTGTGCCTGTCATTTCATAGATGGAGCTGCTGCCTTTGCCCTGAGGCCACCATTAAGTACCAAAGGACAGAATAAGAACAGCAGTATGGGTTGCCTCCCCAAGCAGGGAGGACACTGGAGCATCACAGAGGCCTTGAAGTTGAGAGAGGGCGGTGGGAGAGGTACTGGTAGGATAGGCCCCTCCCATCTGTGACAGGACCATCTAGGGGCCTGTCATTCAACTTCCCAAGAGAATTTGCCTCTTGAAGCCAATAGCTATTACAGACAAGGCTACTTGTGTTCTGTTTTGGGCAAGAGGTGTTCAGAGCCCCTGTGCATGGCCCCTCAAGCCATTGATGGGAAAAGCCCTGGGGGAGGGCTGCCTGCAGCAGTTAAGTTCCTTAGAAATAGGGAAGTGGCCAACTGGATCCAGGGGAGAGAGAATCCTGCCTCTGGGGCACCCCTGATTGTCTATGGACTCCAGATTCTACCCAAACTGTGGGGATGGTGGGAAGAGGGGTGGCCTTCTCTCCATCTGTCAAGGGAGTCAGCTTTGTCTCCAGCCAGCCTCCCTGGGACTTGGGGTCTGCAGAACATTTGGTGACCTGGAGCCAGGAGAAGCAGGTATCCAGGCCAGCCTTGCAGGCCCTTCACCTGGACAGGTCCAGCTGGACCAAGAAGCTGCCCAGCTGGTTCATCAGCAGCCTCTTCTCTCCCTGAAATTGCTTCCTTTGGGTCTGATGCAGTTGGATCAAGGGGCATGGGGCCCAGGTGCAAGTCCAAGCTGTCAACAAATAGTCCAGTCCCCATCAAGGCCGTCACCCTCACCCCCCCACCCCTGAGCAAGGTCAGTGGAGGTGGGTATGTGTAAGAGTTCCACACCTCTGAGCCAGAGTGTGATCTGTCCCAGTATGGATGGGGGGGGGGAGGTTAGGTACTTGTCCCAAAGGAGTTCTGACACCTCCCACCTCCCCAGGCCCTCCCAGTCTCTTTCTGGAACCTTTAAACACAAAGAAATTACATTTCCCTTCCCCCTACTGGCAGGCCTCACCCACTCAGAGTAGCAGATATCAGAGCACCACACCTCTCCAGGGGTGCAGGAGGGGGCCAGATGGGCCCTGTCCTTGAAAGGCAAATTGATCAGAGCCCACCCCAACCAGGGCCCAGGGTCCCTAGTGGCACACAATCACCATTTGCTCCTGTGTCATACAACCATTTAATGAGCGTCTGCAGCCCAAGAGGCGCCCAGCAGCTGTGCCTCGCCTGGGTGGCTATAACCAGGCCAAAAGTCCGTGTCCCCGATATCCGGCACGCTAGCCTGGGTCTCTTCAGCTAGGCTTCTGAGAGCCACGTACACCCTAGTGAAGGCAGGGAGCAGCAGAGGACTCAGAGAGGAGTAAGCAGGGAGCAGGGCCTCTGCAGCCTGCAATGCCAGTGCCTTCAGAAGAGATTTGCAGAGGGGCTTCTTCGTCTGTGCCAGCCCAGCTGTGGGAGGCCCCCTGCAGGGGAGACTAGGCTGACCATGACCTTAGCAGGGAGAGGCACACGGCTCCTCCAGCCCTGGCACTCCCCTGCGCGCCATCTCTCGCGGGCGCATCTGGGCGCACCTGCAAAGCAAGGCGACGACTAGGAGCCCGAGGCCAGTGCCAAGCGTCGCCAGCGAAGCACCCTGGGCCAGGTCCAGGCGGGGTCCGCCCAGTGAGAAGGTGATAGCCGTGGAAGAGGCGCCGGCCACCAAGGCTAGGACCCCGAACGGCAGGAGACAGCTTGGCCATGAGCCCCCAGCACCGCCGGTAGCTAAGAGCAGCTCGCCAAGGGCTTCATGGAACGTGGGACCCCGCGGGGCGGGAGCAGGATCCAGCACGCTCATACTAACGGAGCAGGGGCTGCACAGGGGGGTGGCTGGGTGGGAGTGGGTGCCCGCGCAGCCCCATCTCCCCTCCCCGCCAGCCATGTCAGAGCGGATTGGCCGGGACTGCAGTGACGCCAATAGGAACGGGCTTCAGGGTGGGTGGGTGGGAGGAGTGAGTCTTTTCCTGCTCTGAGCACCTTGTGCGCCTGCTTATAGACCCCTATGTTATGTCTGCCTGGGAAGATCCAGGGCCTTCTACACAGGGCCAGAACATGGTGGGCACTGGGCCACTACTGTTGAGCACCCTGTCCTAGTAGCTGTGATTAAATCACTCAACTGTGAACCCAAAGGTTGGTTGGTCAAATTCACAAGCTGCTTTGTAGAAGGCAGTTTGCTTCACCAAGATTAGTCTTGGAAGCCCTGCAGAAGTTCAGTTCTTGAGGGTTACTGTGAAACTGAATTGACTGGACAGCAGTGGGTGAGAGCATTTGTGGGTGACAGCAGGGTGGCATCAACCCTGAGGAATAAGGAGGCATCCTCTAGAGTGAAGCCTACTTTTGGCTGATGATGAACCCTGCCCCAAGGGATACCATGTTTTAAAGGGTGTGGTAGGATGTTTCTAAACCTCAGGGCCTGGCTGTAATGCAGGTGGGTGGACTGCCCTCTGCCTTGGGATGGCAGTCCTGGTGGCCTGGACTCACCGTTCCCTTGGGGACTTGCCCCGGGCATGATATAGACTGGGGAGAAAAGCTAGACCATGTTCCAGCTTCATTGTTCCATCTTCACTGTGCACCGGCACAGTAGTGAGTGCTCGGTGAAGAGACCCCCATAATCAAGCTGGTTTGGCTACTTGCACTAAGACAGAAAATCTTTATAAAGAGCTCCAGTGGCCTAGAAGGTTGTGCTGCCAACCCAAAGGCACATAGTTCAAATAAACTAGCTGCTCCATGGGAGAAAGATGGGCAATCTCTTTCTGTAAGATTTATTATCTCTGAAAACTCAGTGGTGGGTCAGCCATGACTCTACTATGGTATGTAACAATCTCTTCTTTCCTCCTTGGGACAGCTGATGGATTCATTGTTATACATTATACCACCAGGGTTCTTTACAGAACAGAGTAGGACCATTCAGAGTGTAAATCTTCACAGGAGCGAACTAACATTCTTCCACAGAACTGGTGAGTGAACTGCCAAGTCTGGTTAGCAGCCCCATGTTTAACAAACGGCTTGTCCAGGGCTCTTTAAAGATAACTTTAAAGCAAATCCCAAACCCACTGCCTTTCTGTAGATCTGATGCATAATGACCCTGTAGGGAGTAGTGCATAATTTATCAAGCTAACCAACAGGCCAGCAGTTCAAGACTAACAGCTGCTCTTCAGGAGAAAAATGGGCAGCTCCCTCCCAAAGATGTAGTCCATCAGAAAATGGAGGGTCACTAGGAGTTAGAATCACCTGGACTTGGGTTAAGGCTGAGTAGACTACATTAGCGTTCCTAAGATTCTAACCTACAAACTGTTAGACCTTTCTCCAGAGGTGAGGGGTGGCACTCCTAACCATCACACATGCCACTGCTGTTGCTGATTTAGGATCAGTGACCTTCAGGTTTCTGAAGCTGTAAATCTTAACATCAATATATTACCTCAGGTTTCTTCCTCAGAGCAGCTGGTAGGTTTGAACCCTTGACCTTGTTAGCAGCCCAATGTTTTAGGAAAGTGCTGATGTAGGAAAATTCTCCCTACCCTATATGCTCAGCCCAGTGATGTAACTGCCTTAGAGACCCACACTTGTCTGAGAGTCCCACAGCGGGGAAACAGGTCCTAAAGAATCTGTTGACCATAAAGACCATGGCCTTGACCCTGAACCTTCTTCAGAAGTGCTGTCTTCCAAAGGGTGGAGGTTGGGGGCTTCAAGGGGACAAGAGGATGGACCAACAAGGTGAGATTTTGCTGGCTAGGAATCCAAAACTGCCTTTGCATCAGCAGAGATGCTGGGGTCACGAGCAGCGCCAGGAGTTGGGTACTGTAGGCTGTGACTGTGCCTCTCCAGGACTTATGGGGTAGGAATGCGCTTTAGCTATACTTGAAGGAAGCTGGGAGATCAAATCCAGCCCTGCAGTGTCTCCTCCTTCATAGTATTCAAGGGATATGTGCTTGAAAAAGACAAAGCAACCAAAAATATGGAACTCCTGAGTTCCCAGAAGGTGGTATTTAAATATCTACTTTCTATAGTCACACAGTGGCTTCCCCCTTTACAGTGAGCAAAGGCAGTAGCTGAGAGCAGGTCCTTGAGCTTCCAAGGCACCAAGCCAGGAAGGTGGAGCAGGCTTGTATGTCTCTGTAGAGAGAAGGCTCTGGGGCCTGTGTGTGGGAGGGACACTTGGCTGCCTTCCCTCTGAGGTCTCTGGACCCACCCTTGCTGGTTGAAAATCCAGATTTCCGTCTCAATCCCTGTAACTCTTGCCAGAGAAAGACTGGGACAAGATTGAGTCCTCAGCAGTGCTGTCTGTCTGGTCTGTGCTTCCTGCCTGGGCTCCGGCAGGCTGGTCAACAGGCTCATCCCGCAGCACCGTGGGGAAGCGTGCACCCCCCTCACAGAGCAGGCTGTGCAGGGCCCTGAACAGGGCTACTTGGGCTGGCCCTGAGGGTCGCGCCAGGGGGAGAAGCTCAGCCATCAGGACCTGGGACAGGATAAGTCCAAGATCAGGGGGTGTGTCCCAGAGCCCCACAAGGGGCCAATCCTGGCTCCCAGGCCACCTGTCCAGGATCATGTCTGGCAAGTGGCTTGTTCTATAGAACAAAAACCTAGTTGCAGCTCACACTCACCTTCTGCTGAGTGAGCCCCTTCCCACCCGCCCACCTCCTAAACCCACAGCTCTGTAAGTACCTTTTGCAGGTGGAGCTGCTGGTCCAGCATGGCCACACGCAGGCGGAGGGCCGCCAGCGTCTGCAGTTCTCCGGGGCTGGAGTACAGAAGCAGTGGGGTGCTCCAGTGGACACTCCTGCCTCCTCCACAGAGGGACGAGGTCCTAGGGGGCAGTCCCAGAGCCCCCAGCTCCAAGTGCTGTTCTGCCACCACTGTGAGGACAGGGACATGGCTTCCTGGGGTATCCAGTAACCCATGGGCCAGCCCCCTTCACACCAGCATGTGTATGGGGCAGGACTTGTCACACACATGAGCATGTATGTGTGTGGTTTGCCACATTTATGTGGGCAGGGCTCCTGGGGAAGGAGGCTGGCTGCACCCGAGTCACTGCCTCCATCACCAGGTGCACGTTGTTTCTGCCAAACTGGACATTCACTCTTACAGCTTCAACCAGTTAGATCAAATCAAAGACAGAGGAAATGAAAAATCCCCTCAGGTACAGAATAAGAGCTCTGGGGAGACTGTGGCTAATCAAGCGCTAACCCAAAGGTCGGTGGCTTGGACTGATTACCCGCTCTGTGGGAGAATGAGGCTGTCTACTCCTGCAGCCCCAGAGCCATGGGGATCCCGTGAGCCAGGCCTACAGCGAGTTGGGGCTGACTCAGGCAGCGTGCTGTCTGCTTTGGAAGGCCAGAGCAGATCACGTCTGGCAGCAGGAATGAGGCCTCTCCCAGCACCCGTGTCCCCCACAAGTTGCTTTCTAGGTGAATAATAATGTGCAAACTACTGTAAGTAAAAAAAGATGTCAGGTTGGACGCAGGTGTGATGGCACTGGTCGTGGAGTGGTGGTTGACCTTGGGGGCAGGCCCTTCCTGGCCAGAGTCCTAGGCAGCCCTGTGGCTTGAAGATGCCAGGGGGGGTTGGCCATGGGGTGGGACAGCGCCTCACCTCGCAGCCCTGTGGCTTGAAGATGCCAGGGGGGGTTGGCCATGGGGTGGGACAGGGCCTCACCTCCTTGCAGCTCCCGCAGCCGGTGGAGACACTGGGCGGCCATGGCCTGCAGGCCCTCCAGGGTGAGCATACAGCGGTACTCCTGCACCCAGCCAGCTGGGGCTGCCGAGAGGGGCGGGCAGTGCTCAGCTGAGGTCCCTGGGCACCCTATCCTTTCCTGCTGAGCCCCGCCCAGGTGCTGACCTGCTGCCAGCTTGTCCCCCAGGTGCAGCCGCAGTAGGGTGCAGGCGTTCCTCAGGCTCCCCAGCTCTGCCTCTATGTCTGATGCCCCATTGTGCTTTGCCATGGGCCGGCTAGACTGGAATATGGTCAGGGAAACTCTTCTATGGTCAGCCTTCGCCCACCTGAAGCAGCAGCCCAGGGGACTCCCCACCAGGTTTGGAGCTAAAGGATCCCTGGACGCCCCAAAAGGATACAGCTGCCTTCATTTTCTGCAGGAATCGGGCCCTGGCAGCGGCATTCTCCACGTCACCAGTCTGCGTGGAGTCAATCTGGGCCCACAGGCTGAGGACCCAGAGAATAACACCAATTATTCTGCACACTGGGTGAGGCTGGGAGACCTGTTAGCGCCGTACCCAAGGTAAAGGGCTGCTAACTGAAAAGCCAGAGATTGGAAACTGACAGCTGCTCAGCCAGCAAAATGGGCAGTTTCTCAGGGAAGTCTACCCCGTAGAAACGTACACAATCAGCAGCATAGTGCAGGGTCACTACGAGCTGGAACCAACCGGAGGGCAGTAGGTTGGATTTTGGGGCAAGGGTAGGTTGGACCCCAAGAGCTGAAGGCCAGGAGGGGCCTCTCAGGAGATGAGGCAACAAAGTTGACACCCCCTGGGAAATGCCAACAAAGCTTCATGAGACAAGGGGAGGGGCTGGGCCTTTTGGTAGAAGTGGAGGCAGTAGAGATTAGTAACCATAGCATCCTCTGTGCTGGACCAGTATACACAGTTGGGTGCTTCAGCTGTCACAGTGCCTTGACAGAGCTGCTACAATTCTGTCACCTTCACTGGGTAGAAAGATTGGGACCCAGGGATTCCTTGGACCTTTCTCAAGGTCTCATGCTGTAAATATAGGAGTAACAGGGCTGCAAAGTCTAATGAGTTCAAGGTGACAGAAGGCCCCTGGCTGATCACTCTCCACCTGGCCAAAGAGAGACAGTCTTCTGTCTCCAATGACCTCCTCCGCCCACGCCCAGCCAGCAGATCCCACCTCACCGGGAGTTCTGGGCAGCTGCCTTCTGCAAAGCCACAGGAAGCCGGAGCAGTGTCCTGTCAGAACGCCAGAGGTCAGTGCAGCCTGGAAGCCCCCACCCTTCTCAGAGCCCCATCCAGATGAGGCTACCTGATTCCTGCATGGAGAGGGGAAAGGCACGGAAGAGGGCCAGTCCTCCATAGCCCATTGAGAGCCTGGAACTGGTTGTCTAAGGGGCCAGTTTCCTGGAGAACTTGCTGTCTCAATCCAGGGGATGGTACCACAAGGCTCCCCATGCCCACATTCAGCTTGGTCCCTGGCAACCTTCCAATCCCAGCGTCTGTGTGGGTAGAGACAGTATCTCCTCCAGTTCTGGTCAGGGGAACCTACCCTTTATCCTTGAGTGTGAATGCTTCTGCCTTCGGAGGTGCTGCTGATGGGGTCACTTGTTGGTCCTCCCGGCTGAGATATCTGGCAGGAGCTCCTGTCCCCAGAGAAGTCTTCTCCCCCGGGGATAGACGCCTGCGCTCTGAGTGCCCCAAGGTCTTCACCTTGGGCTGGCTTATGCCCCTGGGGGCTTTAATTTCTGATGCCCGACTTGGAACAGAGGATGGGGCGGCAAGAAGGGTGGTCGAGGTCCTGGGTTTCAGGCTGGGCTCGCTGTCTCCCTTCCCAGTCTTAGAGACGCCTTTTCGAACTCGTACGGCCTTCTCCAGCGCCTGGGTCAGAAGCTCTAGCTCCTTGAGGTCTCGAGGGCAGGGGGCGTTTGCTGTGAAAGGGAAGCATCATGCCAGGGTCCCCCAGGAGGGGCACCGACGTGCCAGTCAGGCCAAGTGAGGGTGGCGGGCCAGGGTTTACCTGGAGATGGGTCCTTCTCCGTTCTTGCCGGGCCCGAGGTCGGTTCTGGAGCTGGGGCCCCTGCTGGTTTCCTACGGAGACACAGGTGGCCACCGACCGGCCGGGAAGAAGTGAATAAACTTAAAGGTGCCCCTGCCTCAACGCTGATAGATAAGGGGGCGTTGGCAGAGGCAGCACAGACGTGGGCTCGGAGCTCGGTGGCCTCGTCTGACAGCCCAGGTCCGCTCACCAGGTCCCCAGCAACCGCCGGCAGACGCGCAGGCTCCGGTCCAGCTGCTGCTGTCGCTTCGCGACAGAGTCCAGCGCGCCCTGCAGCTCGGTCAGCAGCCTGCGAGGGACACATCGGGGCTCAAACCTGGGGCCCAGTCTGCAGTCCTGCGCGCGCCCCCCCTCCCGCCCGGTGTGTATAGCTCACCGGCGCGAGCAGTCAGCCGGCAACATGGAAGCAGTGGATGAAGAAGGTACCAGCACGGTTGTAGCGACTCCCGCCACTTTCCCGCCACAGTGGAGCCCCACCCCTTCCGCCAGAAAAGAACCAATTTCCGTCCAGATGGTCCAATCTGAGCTAATGGCTGAGTCCGCCTCTCCGAAGGCCCGCCCACTCTTTACATTCAGCCAACCCCGCTAGAGGACACGCCCTAAACGCTGCCCTATCAGCAGGCCCCGCCCTGCCCGCGCTGTCCACGCCCCCGCTTCATTTCAGAGCACTGGTCAGAAGCCTCGCTCCGGGGCTCAAAGTGAAGGCAACCTTCCGATTTGGGTGACTGGATGCATGGAGGCGCACTTCTGCGAGTCTTTTGCAGAGCTCACTCGCAGACATATCGATCTCACGTGAAAGACTTCACAGGAATCATATTGATTACATCTGTGGAGTGTCATAAGGTCAGATGTTGTAGAGTAGATCATCAATTACTCATGTACAAGTTCAAGTTGAAGTTAAAGAAAACTAAAACAAGTCCCTAAAAACCAAAATACAACCCTGACTCTATCCTATGTCATGCTTTGAACACTAATGACTAGTGACCAGATGACTTGAGATGACATCAGGGATATCATCCGTATTGTTATGTGCTGACGAGCTATTATGACCCATGTTATTGCTATGTGCCGTCAGGCCACTCATAGAGACCCAATGGAGAACAGCTCTGAAGCCTGCCCTGTCCTAAGTTAGTCTCACTGACTCCGAAACATTCACCCCCAGTGTCTGTTACCATATCAATTCAGCTCATGCAGTGTCTTCCCCTCCTGCGCTGTCCCTCCACATTTCTGAGCATAACGTCCTTCTCCAAGGACCGGTACCTCCTGGCCACATGCCCAAAGTACGTGAGAAAATTCTAGCTTCCAAAGAGAAACTTGGTTTCACCCTCTCCAAGACAGACCTATTTGTTTTCTTAGCAGTCCATTTGCTTTCAAGAGTCCAAGAGTTCAAGACTCTTCTCTAGCACCACATCTTGAAGGCATGAATTCTTCTTCTGTCATTGTTAATCATTGTCCAGTTCTCTGATACATAGCAAGTAATTGTGAAGACCATGGCCTGGACCAGGTGCACCTTAGTTTCTAGACTGACATTGCTTTTCAGTACTCTGGAGAGGTCCCTGACAGCAGATTTTTTTCCAGTGCAATTAGTCTTTTGATTTCCTGACATCCTATAAACAATGGATCTGAACCTTGCCCTTTCTGTGCTGTCTTAATAATCTCTAATAAACTCTAGCCCATTGTTACAGTCACTGTGTCAATCCATCTTGTTGAAAGTCTTCCTCTCTTACTCAGCTTCCACCTTTCCAAGCATGGTGTCTTTACTCAAGGACTGGACTCTTCTAACAACATTCATCACCCATGAAGAAAGCAAAAGGTCATTACAAAGACAGAGGAGAAAGAAAAGACTGAAAAGGATGTGAGAAAAGGCTAAGAGAATACCATCAAAATGTAGAGACGTCAAAACCCTTTGTTGGCAATGAGAATAATGGCAAAGAAAAAAGGACAGAAAATTTCAAAGGACTACCTGAGAAGGCAAAAATAAAAATATTATAAAGAAATGTACAAAAAGCTGGAGTTAGAAAATCAAAAGGGAAGGACACCATCCATACTGTCCAAGCTGAGTGAATTGAAAACCAAATTAAAGCCTGAGTGGCAATACTGAAGGATTCTATGGAAAAAATATTGAATGATGCTAAAAGCATGAAAAGATGAAAGTAATACACAGAGCAAGTATACTAAAAAAGGTTGGTCAGCCCTGAACCACTTCAGGAAGTAGAAGACAAGCTAGAACCAATAGTTAGGCAAACTGTACTGAAGGCATTAGCAAAAAATAAGGCCCTAGGAGTTGGTGAAATAACAATTGACATGTTTCAACAAAAGATGACACAGGCAAACAACTAATGGTGGAGAGGTTGTGTAGAAACTGGAACTCTTACTCACTGTTGGTGGAAGTGTAAAATGGTGCAACCACTGTGGAAGGCAGTATGGCACTTTCTCAAAAAGTTGGAAATAGAAATACTATTTGATCCAGCAATTCCACTACTGACAATATATTCTAAAGAAACCAGAACTACCATCCAAGCAGATATATGCACACCTATGTTTATTGCTGCTTTGTTCACAATAGCAAAGAATTGGAAACAACCCAAGTGCCCATCAACAAATGAATGGATAGAGAAACTGTGGAATATTATGCAGCATTGAAAAACAAGGAACTAATGAAATATTATACAAAATGGGTGACCCTGGAGGACATTACGTTGAGTGAAATATTTCAATCACAAAAGGACAAATACTGTATAATGCCACTGTTATAAAACTGAACTGACATCAGGTTTAGGGGGAAACTAATAAAACAGGAGATAAATAATGTACACTGCATTGAAACAGATGAGAGAGAAAACTGTTTAAAAAGGATATATGATTAAGTATTATTTGCATGGCAAGAGTCCAGAATAAGAGCTGCATAGTAAAGTGTACTGGAGGGGGGGAATGTATAACAATTAATGATTTTTTTTTTCTTCTCAAAGAGAAAAGTGAATTCAGGGTGGGAGGAGTGGACAGGGAGGAAAATGTGCAACAATGAATGAACGGAAATCCAAGTTCTCTATAATCTTTCATTAAAGTCTCAGTGAAAACACACACACACACACACACACAAAGATGATCCCAAGATGTGCTCACTAGTCTATACCAAGAATGTTGGGAGACAGCGACTTACTCAAAATTGGAAGAGATCCATATTTGCTCTCATTAAAAAAAAAAAGATGATCCAACAGGATGTGGAAATTATTTAAAAATATCATTAATATAACACACAAATAAAGTCTTGCTGAAGACTTTACTTCTTGCTGAAGATTAGAAAAAACAACTAGAACAATACATTAACAGGGTAATGTCCTGCAGTCATTCAAGGAGTCTATGGTAAAGGACAAAAGGAAAGAGAAGAAATCATCACCTAGTAAGGAAAACGAGTCAAGTGAGAGTGAAGAGGAAGTGTCCAGGCCCCGGAAATCACGGAAACGTGTAGACTCTGATTCTGATTCTGATTCCGAAGATGATATCAATTCGGTGATGAAATGTTTACCAGAAAATTCAGCCCCTTTAATTGAGTTTGCAAATGTCTCCCAGGGTATTTTATTGCTTCTGATGTTAAAACAACATTTGAAGAATCTCTGTGGATTTTCTGATAGTAAAATTCAGAAATACTCTCCATCTGAATCTGCAAAAGTATATGATAAAGCGATAAATCGAAAAACAGGAGTTCATTTTCATCCCAAACAAACACTGGACTTCCTGAGGAGCGATATGGCTAATTCCAAGATCACTGAGGAGGTGAAGAGGAGCGTCGTGAAGCAGTATCTTGATTTCAAACTTCTCATGGAACATCTGGACCCTGATGAAGAGGAGGAAGAAGGGGAGGTGTCGGCCAGCACAAATGCTCGGAACAAAGCAATTACCTCGCTGCTTGGAGGAGGCAGCCCTAAAAACAATGCGGCCGCAGAAACGGAGGATGATGAGAGTGATGGGGAGGATAGAGGAGGAGGCGCTTCTGGGTCATTGAGAAGGTCAAAACGAAATTCAGACTCTACGGAGTTGGCAGCACAGATGAATGAAAGTGTTGACGTCATGGATGTCATCGCTATTTGCTGTCCAAAGTACAAAGATCGACCACAAATTGCAAGAGTAGTACAGAAAACCAGCAGTGGCTTCAGTGTTCAGTGGATGGCAGGCTCCTACAGTGGCTCCTGGACTGAGGCTAAGCGCCGCGATGGCCGCAAACTGGTGCCTTGGGTAGACACTATTAAAGAGTCAGACATTATTTACAAAAAAATTGCTCTAACAAGTGCTAATAAGCTGACTAATAAAGTTGTTCAGACTTTACGATCCCTGTATGCCGCCAAGGATGGGACTTCCAGCTAATGAATTTGTACATGCAGCCAAATTTACAGGAATTTTTTTAAAAGCAGAAAAACTTGAAATATCAACATTCTGGCAAAAAAAA